CATATGGCTTCAGTAGCACGTCTCGAATGCACTCTGTTCGCCGCAAACTTTTGAACCTTGTTTCACGACAGCCCAGAAGCTCTCATTTTTTCCTCACACGATCTCCTCCATGTCACACTAGCCTAGGACGCCCAACTCAGCTGATACCTGTTGCACAAGAACCGCCAACGTCCCTTGGTGGCCTATTGGGTAACACCTTGGCGGTGGGTACCGGGTTAGAATCCCAACTAGGGGAAATATACTGGGGTACAGATACACCCAGCAGATGAATCGCAAATAGGAAGAAACGTGCATCGTGGATTTCACTGGTCGTCACCAGGATGAATATAAGAATATAAGAGAATTGCAGTCCGCCGCGGTGTTCAGGTTTCACTCGTCTATTAATCTGATCACAAATTTATTTGTCAAGGCACTTTATATAAAGGGTGAAAATAGGGTGGGGTAAGGTAAATAAATTAAGATAATGCAATATTTGAAAATATTACTGATAATAAGGAGGAATAATACATTTTCACACCTCCCTTCGCATCAAAGTAAGATAAAGATTACCGAAGAAGATGTAAGACAAGATCGAATGGGTTTTGAATACACAAAGGTTTTTTAACTTCTGTGTGTTATCTCAAAGTTATCTGAAACGTTTTATGTATTTGAGCAACAAAAACGTTTATCATATTAACCGACAAATCTACATGATTGGTTTAATTTTAATATATATTAAGTTAAAAGGATATAGAGGTAGTATTCATCATGGACTGAGAACAGTTGCGGAAGTGTTGGAAATCCGGGAGCACTGGACAGCTATCTTGTCCCAGTACAGGACTACTCAGTAGTACGCACCCACAACCCGGCTAGAGGTCGAACCCAGGGCCTTCAGGTTTCACGTCGAACGCGTTATCCATTCAGCCACTGGGTCGGTTTCCAGTGGTCCACAATTTCCAACTTCTGTCAATTCACGACATAGCGCGACTGTTACCCAAGGTCTTCAGTTAGCATCCACTTCACTTCCGACTAGTTGACCCCACAGGTCACGGCTTCTCATTAGTGCTTCGTGATATCCATCTGGAAGCAAGTCACTAATGAGCACTATACAATAATGTATTTTTCAGATGAATGGAGATTTTCAATTTAGAAGTAGTATTCATCGTGGACTCACATCAGTTGGGCAACCATTGAGAATCTTGGAGCACTGGACAGCTGTTTCGTCCTAGTACGAGACTCCGCAGTAGGACGCACCCACGACCCGGCTAGAGATCGGACTCAGTCCATGAATGAATACTACTTCTAAATTAAAAATCCCCGTTCATCTCAAAAATTATAAGGATGTATTTTAATATAATCCCAGCATGTCTAGAAAATCAAAACGTTTTGTTGTGTAAGCCACAGCTTCTTCAGCGGAAGATCTGCTGAAGAAATTGTGGCTTGCACAACGAAACGTTTTAATTTTCTAAACACGCTGGGATTATATTAAAATATATTCTTATAATGATTTAGTCAGACTGGGCGCCCAACGTCTTCCAGGACAATCGTAACAACTACGGTCTGGGTGTTTATAATATATCAAGTTATTTGTATTAAAGTAGAGCCTGAAGAGGATCTAATTGAAAACAATTGAAAACAATATGTCCTGTTCCAACACATTTTCCACAATCTGACCACAAACGTATTCTAAACACAGTCGTTTATACACTTAAGAGGTAGGAAAATGGATATAGGTCAAAGGAACCGCTATACTCAAGGTCAAACTAACAATAAAGATCAATAAAGCAACAACAACTACAACCCTGGATTTATAGGTGAATTCATCAAATAAGGTTCAATGTGATAACACACTGTTCTTGAACACATAAAAGTGGTATAAGCCTTCTAATGGCTAACCCGTCAACTAACATTAAACTACATCACCAACATGTTTTTTGCACATGTGCTTAATTGATGTATATACATCAGTTTCATGCTCAATTCAAGTGATTGGTTGATCGTTTGAAGAGATCGGATGCTTACTCCCTATATCAATCACGTCAGGTAACTCGATTTGTTTCTGAAGTCACTTGTAATATGTTATCTGCAGTAATTCTCAATGACCAGTGAGTCATGTTCATATGTGTGTGACCAACTGTACATGGGATTATAAAAGTCACCCTTATCGCGTTCAGCAATAATTTTATATCTTATTTTAGCAAGTTCATTCATTCTTTTAACAGAGTATGAAGGCAGTCTTCTCTTCAAAATTCGGAAATCGTAGTTCCCATTCATGAATCTCTGGTATACAGTTTCCATATCTGTCTGTCAGTCCACTCATAGTTTAAAAATTTGTACAACCCACTTGAACCTCTTATTCCAACTGCAGATGATTATCATGATTGGTTTAAGGTCACTTGGGTGGAAATAATTGATGAGTTCTATGAAGGTGAACTGTAAGAGAAAAGGATTTTAATACCAGAAGACTTGAGAGTATCGAAAGAACTACGACAAAATTCAGATATTACCTCGCTCAGACCTGACAAAGGTACAGGAGTGATAATCGTGAATAAAAGCGATTACAAATGTACAATGTTCTCTATTCGTGATCATCAAAATCAATTTGGTCGAGATCATTTTTCAGAAGATAAGCAAGTACTACTGTGGATAATGACAAATAACCTAACGAACATATTTAGGTTAAATATCATCAATGAGGACAAATTCGATGCGTTCAAGCCGACTGAATTCAAATTCCTACACATATATAACCTACCTACATAAAACCAGTTGTCTTCTTTGCTATATATCACCAATGGATGGATCACTGACACAAAAGCTTACTCAGTGGCTAGTAGAATTATCAGACTCAATCAAAAGACAATATTGTAACTATATCTTAAACGATGCATTTGAGTTAAATGATTGCCCTAGTTGTATTAGGAATAAAACTATTCATTCCTTTGATGTTAACTCCTTATTTATTTATTTGTTAATGTGCATTTGGTCAAAACAATTGATATCTTGTATGATTGCATTACCACGTGTAAATTTTCAACTCCACTTCTTTTATCTAACTTACAACATTTACTACTTTTATGTACTAACGATGTGAAGTTCACTTTTGAGGGTGAATATTTTCTACAGGTTGATGGTCTCACTTATAAGAAGACCCTTAAGTCCCCTTTCAGCAGATATTTATATGGCGCATGTTGTGGTTTGTAAAAGATATGGTAATAATAAATGATGGTCCTTCTTATGCTACTTCACTTTTGGATCGAATAAACGAGGTATAGAATAGTGTATGTTTAGAAAGTGTAGAGGAAAATGATAACTGCTTGTCCTCCTTAGATGTACTGATCAGTCGACAGCGAGATGGATCAGCAAGACGGTTCACTTCTAGAAAGCTTTTGTGAACAGAACAATACTTGAATTATAAGTTTCTATCTAGTCGAAAACAGGCGAGTCTTCCTGAGGTGTTTATTTAACACAATTCAATGAATATGCGCAGCCGATAGATTGGAATAAGAGATTAGATTATTCATCAAGGCGTTAATTGATAAAAAACTATCCATTGAAGTTCATAAGTTGCAATAAAGAAGACATTATCCGGAAGAAAGATATTTTCACTAAGCCACCGTACACTGGTGGTAGAAATAGCTTAATAGCCGAACAGAGAATTAACACTGCCATCATGAAAAAATATTATGCAGCTAAGATTTGGATAATTCAAAAATTGAAGCCTGTTTACTCAACAAAGCCTTAGGAACAGGTGAAAGATGATGTCAGATTCCACTGTATTTACCAATTTCAGTGTATATATGATCACACATACATGAAGAGGACTCATCTATCATTAGAAATTAGAGTCATATAACATATTCCAAAGTAGCTTCAGAAACAAATAGAGTTACCTGATCCGATTAGCATTATAATCACCTAGACCATAGCTGTTACGACTGTCCTGGAAGAAGATGGGTATCAGGTTTGATTTAATGATTATAAGAATATATATATTTTGATATAATCCTATCGTGTGTAGAAAGTTAAAACAAGATTTTTCTGAACGTTTCACTGTGTAAGCCACAGCTTCTTCAGAAAAAGCAGACAATCAAGAGATGAAAAGACAGTGTGAAGGGAAATAATGAAATATGATGTAAAGACTAGGATTAGAATCTTGAACTGTATCATCTACAATCGCTAACCACTGGTTCCGGTTGTCTAGAAGACCACATAGTAAAAAGCTTACATTCCCTTCACAAAGCTCCGATCAACCATGAAAAACTTCATGGATTAGTGCTTTGGATTTCTTTAGCCATCCTTTCCTATTTGCCAACCTATCCTTCGCGCTGGGTGGGATGGTAAGTCGGGATATGTAACAGGTGCCTCAACCACCTAAGTTAATAGAGGGTTAAAGTCATGAATTCAACTACATCTTTTACCTAGGAGTCGTTACTTAATCTTCACATATGTTGCTTCCACCAATATATCATCAGCTAAATTAGTATCATTATCAGCAAATATAAACAGCTGATTTTACTCACAGTAGAACAAATCAAATTTAAAGCATAGACCTAAATAACCCCATACTTCAGAATCATGTCGTGAAAAAAACATTCAAATTAGGCGTACATTTCTCAGCAGGGAATGTAAGTAAATTGATACAAAATGAGCTAGAATAGATTGGATGCTCGGAATATGGCTTAGGCATCCAAAACCATAGATTCTCTTTAGCCCACAATATCTACAAGGAATAAATCACTAAAAACTAAGGTAGGGTCCCAATCCAAAACGTCTTTGGTTATGTATCTAGATAAGGTTTTCATGATGTTAAAAGTACTATAATCCTTTTTTTTTCTTACATTTATTTTACGGTTTTTCTCTTTTGTTATTAATTTTATATTTCTGTACTGTTGAAAATTGGAGAGACTTGAACTAGAACACAGTGCAAATCTTTCTCCGATATTGTTCCAAATCTAATCTCTCAATAACTATTCCATTTATTTTAATGAGGGAAAAAGAGGTAATAAAATTCAACTTACTAATCCATAATTGAATGCAGCATATCATCTGGTAATGGCAAATGATGAGCTAAACATATACGTCGTAGTGACTGACGATCTATTTCACCTGTTTTCTCTGAATCCTGTTGACGACAAGCAAATAATAGACTGGAGAAATCTTCAAATGCCTGTCTGCGAAGTGTTTGTTGAGCTATACCAAGCACAACTTCCTGACTGATTGATTTTGATGATCTAAAAAGAAAATATAATATACTTGGGATTGAAGAAGTAACTATCTTTTCATACTGATATAGAAATTGCTCAAGTTATCAAGGAACTGAGTCAAGAAATCAGTCAGCTCATAGTCGATTTCACCTTGGAACAGCACTATTGGTAGTATAAAACTGATAGATTAGACATACTGCGAAGCTTTGTAGAGTACCAAAAAGAATTTCAGTGATGAAGAACAACACACACCAGGGAGATATAGAATCCAAAAGAAATTTAATAACGCATTGAGTGATATATTTTGTATCCTCAACTATATGTTCTGTGGAATATCTAAAGGTTTTACAGTATTCGAGGGCAGCGACTGCCGGGAAAATGTCAAATGATGGCGAAATGCTTCTGGGCATACAGATATTAATAATATAATACTGACTGATGATCTGAAATTCTCTTGCACTTCATCAGAATTTCACAGAAAGCTATATGTCACACCACTTGACAACCAAGTGATTCTGGGTATCCTACACTGGTGAACATATATGAGATTTTGGAGAGAAATTTTGTCATATTGTACTTGTATTATTCAACTTGATAGTCTCCTCTATAAGAATTTTATCCTGTAGTTTAAAGGTTATTCTGCTATTTGGGAAGCCTATAGAGATTTATGTTGTCTCTTACAGATACCGTGTTGACAAATGGCTGCAACGTGTGTAGTGCCTACCGCCAAGGTGTTACCTAATAGGCCATCGAGGCATGTTAGCCGCTTCCTGACCAACAAGTATCACTTTCTGTTTTGATACTTGCAATTTCCCGTCGCTATGCAGAGCCGCCTGTTTATTAGAAATGTCACACAGTGAAACAACATCACTTACTGGATGTCGTTTCGGACATAACGTATCATCCATATTCATGTCACGTAACTCCACAACTTTGAGACTTAGTTTGTACGCATTGGACATAGTTTGCATTTGTGTAAGTCACAGTGTGTATGAAAAGAGATAATTCCAACATTTCACGTGGAAATCTGGTTTGAGCTTCTTCAAACTCTATAGACTACAACTTCCCTCCTTCTTTGTGATGTGAGGATAGTAGAATTTTTCACATGTATGGGACAGGTGCAGAATCACTTCGATTACGTGTATTTGGTATTGATTCGATAAACAGTGATTCGGTTGGTAATCTCTCCCTCCACCTAACTAAGTTAGCTTTCAACACTGTTGCTCTTTCCCACCCCATTGAGTATAATTGAGTGTATAGCTATAGCTAAGCTCTCTACTGACTTTTTTAAAAATCTGATTAGAAGTTAATAATCTTGATTTGATTAAGCTATTGTGCTCTGTTATTCCAATCGACCTTGGTCAACTACTTCGACCTATCTATTTAACCTCGCAATCACCGCAAGGAATTTGTTACAATAAATTATTTTGCCTAATTGAATCAGTAGGATGTTTTAACCTGTAAAGCTGGTTTGTAAGCGAGTTTGTTGGATTGAATGTCACTTTAATCCCAGCCAGCCTTATTGGGAAATCTTCGTAACGCTTCTGAGATGCTTTCTTTGCATGGTAATAACACAGTGGAGACTTTGAATTCTCTCTCAAACCCGTCACCATCATTACCACTATTGTAACTATTATTAGTAGAATTGTTAATAATAACACCTGTGTTACTACTACTGCAGTTAACATTTCTCCTTTGATTTCTCATGGATTTATTGTTAGATTTAGGTGATCAATTGTTGAGAGACAGGGTATTCTTGATGTGTTTAATTTCGCCCCATCATTTAGGCATTGAACTAGACCTACTTTAAGTGAGATCGGGTGAAATGATTTGAAGTCAAAGTAGTGATTTGAATGGGAAGGTTTTGTGTAGACACTGGTCTTTAAACTTCCATCTTGTTTTCGTTTAATCTTGCAATCCAATATTGTTGGGTCACCTTCATCACTTTCTAAGTGGCAGGTGAATTGGATTGCATTCGCTGCTGAATTTGTATATTCCAGTTTCATTCTGCTGTGATTATTAGTTATCGGCGCTAAATTAAACTATTTTGAGTCACCTAAAGACGGCTTCATTAGGTGTATTAGATCCCCTTTGGACTGTTCGAAATAAGTTGAGCAGTTACATCACATTTTTCGGAGGTAGGGTATTCTTGACGCGTTTAATTTCCCGTCATAGATTTCCTTTCCTACTGGTAAGCGTTTTCGACCTATCACTTCGGCATTCAACTGGACCTACTTTAAGTGCTCAAGCTGAAGGTGACTCCAGGTATCAATGGTTTCTCAGTTGATATCGGTTTCTAGTGAAAAGTACTTTTAAGGTAAGGTTTGTTTCTATTTGTAAAGTGTAATTTTTGATTGTCTACTTAATGCATTAAAAGCAAGGATCCTAATGAAAATTTCAGTTGTGATGTAATCAATTATAATTAACCGAAGCGTAGAAGGGGGATGGGAATTAAGATTTTGACAAAAAGAACTGTTGAACGTACTTGACATACTGGATGTGTACACGGAGTTTATGTTTGAATTATTGAGTGCTACTGTCACAACTCTACACAAGTTCGATATAACTCAGTGGATAACTTTAAAAGAGGAACCTGAAACACTTATTTCCTTGACTGAACTTCACTGATCTTGTTCGATCACTATCGTCGAGAATCAGAGGGATCGTCGTAGATAACAGGAATGAAAATGAACTGGAAAGACTGAGAATTAATCTTGCAAAATGGATATCCCCTCATATACAATGATAAGGTCCAGACAACCTAGAACATAATAAGTGAACCCTTGAAATCCTGTCGAAGACTTTGTTGCTGAACGTTGATTTTACGGGTGATAGATAGTGGAGAAATACTAATAACATTGAATAAGTTGTTCACGCATCCTCAGGCTTTGCATTTCAAAGAATGAAGTTGCTATTGTTAAATTCACTGATTATACTAATGGTTATACGAAGAATGAAACTCAGTTGCATCCTGTCGATTGCCTCTGGAAGCTGTTTGATGGACTTCGTACCGGATGTAATTTGCAGGATGATACCACTGAACTGCTTGTCCATTCGTGAAATCAATCAAAGCACCAGTTGTCATTAGTGTCATTTGAATAACCTAGTGCATAACTGGTAACATGTATGACACCATTGAGAAAAATCATATGAGTGACAGGTGTTGGATCTAACTCTCAGTGGGGACACAATCACTCAGTTAGATGCAATTGCACCTAGTTAACAATAAACACGTCTTGAATTTAATTGCTAGCAACCAGTAAAGAAATAATATCAAAGTAAGACCATTCCATCGTTTATTATCAAACGCATTGATAGCTTTTGGACGAAATTTGAAGCTAACAATTGCGAGAAATCAAATCGTCAGTACATTTCACAATGGAAGTCATTATGATTTTTCCACAGTATAAACGCTTGTGGCAAAAAACACTACAAAAGTTTAGAATCCACTCAGAACAATTTTACGCCCATCACTGAAGTACATAAAGTCATATCTCAAACTCAACCAGTATAAAATAAAAATGAAATGACGTATTGCGTGAGTAAATCGCTTACTTTACACCATAATATCTTGCCAATGTACCAAGTTCATGCGTTGTTAATGCATTCTCTTTACCAGTCAACTGATCAATAAGACACTTCATTTGATTAAAACCGAATGTTCCTGTATTATCTGGATCTTGATTCACTGCATACTTCAGCATTTCATCACATTTTCCATCAATTAATGGTCTAAGTTTATCTAATATTAATTTATGATTAGATTTTGTAAATTGTGAATCATTTTTCTCCATATAATCTAATGTATAATTATCAGCTTCAATTAATTCAAACAGAAATGTGTTAAAATCAAGTATAGCGCCAACATATAAATCTGTTGGTTTATAATATTCACTTGGTTTTGTATTAAATAATTTTGTCCCGGGTTTTTTAATTTTTGAACGTTCAAGGAATAGACCACCTTTAAAACCTACAGTGATGAAAAAAACAGGTATTTGATCAAATGGAAGGCAAAATAAGAATAATTCGATACTACCAGGAATAGTTAAGAACTAGTCACATGAGCCAAACAATTTGATATGTGTTGTGAGTACTCAGTGGTCACGTCGATCGACGAGAACAGAAGTTGAACTGAACTAATCAGATATACTATCGAACAACTTGAATAGTTAGAGACCAGGCAGGCTAATTTGTAGATTTCTCCAGTCAGGTCAGAGTGAACCAAACACCGGATGGCAGTGTCCCTCGTCTTTGACCATGATCATCAGCTGCGTACTCGGACAAATGCAGCTCATACAACTAAATTAGTTCATGTCTTGCTGAGTGGTTTCTAACCCCGTACGTTTTTCACAAGTAGTATATTCCGCTATTTCAAGACAGTTTTATGCTAGAGGTCCCATATTATCTTGGCTGAGGGGTGGTCTCCAACGGAAACGCTGCTGACACTACAGTTGTATGGTTGAAAAAAAACTCAGCTATGAGAAATGTCAAAGTAGATTGTTCAGTTTGCATATCATTTGCAAATTAATCACCCTATGTTAGACAAACTTATTTAATTAATCAAATAAATTTATTTTTGTCAAAAATTCAGTTATGAAGTACTGGACTATTAGAGGGAAATATCGGTGACCTTGGGTGATGGGTTACAAAAAGGCAAGTAATGAACTTCAATAATTCCACTTTTACCTTAACTAACAATATACGAAATAGTCGTATAAAATTATTGGTAAAGTATATTTACAATTTTGAGATGAATTGTAAAATTCCAAAGGAAAGAAAAGGAATTAGTCGAAGACATTGAAAGTTTACAGAGTATTAAATAGTTGGATAATGCTTTTCAACCATTAAGCCACTGAATGTTAACATTATGATACTATCAAGAGTATGAGTAAGCTATGAGAAATCCTTCACTTTAAATTCTATGATTTTGTCAAGCGTAAAAAATATGCAGCGAAATCTGCAAACGTATGAACTTGTTTTAGTTGTTCTGTTGAGAATCCATCAAACACATTCTTTGTATTACTAACATTTAAGTAATTCAGCCAAAGGTGTTCTGCTGACTGAATACTTTTATTAAAGAAATATTTTAATACTGTTGAAGGAAAAGTCAACTAATGAAGCTGTGAAACTGTAATAAACGAAATTCGGAAATTTCGACATTACTCAAGATGACCTACAGTACACAGAGATGTGCAGCAATTGCTAAAGTTGGCTTACACTGAGGAAAACCCAACTGTGGACAGAGTTATACATGGGAAGAATCAATGAAGTCACTGATTGCTCTGTCTGAGGCAAGCATGAAAAATTTGGTTACCTGGTTCAGTGGTTAGACACCCTCAATGCCATGGTTCAGAATTAATCAAAGTGTTATAGATGTTTCTGTATTTTGGCATATTTGACATATTTCAGAGCTTTTCAGAAGTGTGACAACTTGGACGGTTGTTCTTTTGGCATAAGTTTTTAAATTGGCTTTTTTTAATATCTATCTGATGTTGATAACAAACATCCCTCGCTGAACCAATTGACAATATTTGTTTGATTACCTTAAGGAAGGAAAATGACCGCCATTTTTGTATTGAAGTCAACCTAATTCACATTAATTTTTCCAAATAGATAATCCAATTTAGAGAACGAAAATAAATCACACATGGCTCCATAGAATCACAATGTTATCATTTTGAGTTACTCAGTTTAGATAATCAAAGAACAAACACTAGTGAATATTTTGACTCTATGCAGATACCGATGTTCTTGTCAGTAGGACAAATGCCGGAAGGCTGAAAACCCAAGTGTACAGAAAGACAACACATTGACCAAATCCTCAACTAAAGCAGCAACAACAACAATGCACAAAATCAGTTGTGTACAGACTCTATTCAAAAGAGCGAGAACACAAAACAGTAAAAAAACTTAACGGAGAAACGAAGAAAATTATTTGATGTCCATCCTAAAGAAGAATGGTTACACATGAAACTTTATCAAGAAAATCTTGAATTGACCACCACCTGCACTTCGTCCACAAATACCACCTGCAGCCTCTGAACTACAAGTCAACATAAATCCCCCAACGAAAATGGAAGTCCTGAACGCCATAAAGCTACTGAAATGCGGAAAAGCAGCAGGACCAGATGGGATACCGCCAGAAGCACTGAGAACAGATGCAGAGACAACAGCAGACATGCTCACACCACACCACTATTGCAGAAGGTGTGGAAGGAAGAGAAGGTACCTGACGATTGGAAGAAGGGTTACCTTGTCAAACTGCTGAAGAAGGGAGACCTCATTGTTTGCAAGAACTGGCGCGGAATCACGCTCCACTCCTGTCCACCCAAAGCAAGCAAAATATTAAGCCGCATCATCCTGGAGAGGCTAAATGATGCACTGGATTCAAAACTACGACCGGAACAGGCCTGCTGGTTGGATTCAGGAAGTAAAAACCATGTGCGGACCAAATTGCAACGCTTCGCATGATCATAGAACAGAGCATAGAATGGCAGTCCACTGTACCCGTACCTCAACTTTATCGACTTTGTGAAGGCCTTTGACAGCGTCGACCGAGAGGTAATTTGGAAACTGCTTCAATGCTACGGAATACCGCAAACCTTCATCAGCCTCATTCAACAACTATACATGCAGCAAACAGTGGGGAGCGAGAAGAGGGGGATACGCTGGGTGGACTGCGGAAAAGAACCTAGAAGATCTGGATTTCGCCGATGATGACTTGTGTCTGATGTCGCACAAACTTGAAGATCTACAGGCGATAACTAACAAGTTGTCAGAAGAGGCGAGGCAGCGAAGACGGGACTTCAGGTGAATATAGAGAAGACAGAAGTGATAAAGATACCGCACCAACAACTCCAACTCCAACAACAACAACAAACTCCAATCACCATCAATGGGAGAAACTTAAATGAAATAACCTCCTCCACCTATCTAGGAAGCACTGTTTCAACAACAGGTGCCATAGGCACAGACGAGGATGTCAAATCCAGTCAGAATCGGAAAAGCAAGACAGGCCTTCATTAGTCTGAAACCAGTATGGAGATCTTCTGCACTCCACTCAGCATGCGAAACAAGATCCGGATTTTCAACACCAACCCAGTCAAGTCAGTGCTTCTGTATGGTTCAGAGACTTGGTGGGTTAGGAAAGGAATTTCCAATAAACTACAGACATTCATCAACAACTGCTTACGCTGCCTCGTTACTGATGATCAGATGGATTGCCAGAAAGAATAAGCAACAAGGAGCTCTGGCAACGAACCAATCAAGAAGCTATCACCCAACAAATATGCACTGGAAGGAAGTGGAGATGGATTGGAGTGGGCATACACTGAGAAGGCCTACTGGGGACATCACGCGTCAGGCCAGTTTCTCGAGTGGAATCCCCATGGGAAGCGACGAGTTGGGTATCCGAGGTGAGGGTGACATGGAGGAGATCGTGTGAGGAGGAAATGAGAGCTTGTGGGCTGTCGTGGAGCCAGGTTGAAATGATTTCAGAGAACGGAGTTCACTGGAGACGTGCTAGTGAAGCCCTATGTTCCATTAGTAACCCAAGGGACTAATAATAATAATAATCTGCCAGGTTCGGTCTTCTCTCTATTCGTCCCAGGGTTGTAGTCAGTGGCTTTTGCGTACCAAGTTAGCTATCAGTTAAGCGTGCGTAATATATTCATTCCGGAATATATATATATAACCGTAAACCTTCAAAATCATAACAGTCTATCCCGTACATCATCGACTACAAAGTCATCGAGAGAAATCAATAAACGCATCATTCTACCATACATCAAGAATGTGTCAGAAATCACAACAAGATTACTGAGACCACTTGGAATTGGTGTGACTCATAAGTCAACAAATTCCCTCCAAACACTTATGCAGACCGAAGGATGCAACAAGCAAAGAAAAACCGCATATCATTTACAAAATCAACTGCAATAACTGTAGTCAACACTATACTGGACAAAGTGGTCACCCTCTTCGCCTTCGTCTACAAGAACACCAATTGGCTATTAAGCGTCACGATATTTAACCACTCATTTCAATGCACGTGGATAATTACGGACATGGATTCAACTGTGACAATGTAGAAATCTTGGACGAAGAGAGGAAACACAAAGAATGTCAGAGAATTCCTAGAAGCTTGGCATTCAGGTCAGTCAGCAATCAACAGATGTATAAACATAGACCCGATCTATCAACAAATGAGATGAATGATAAACGATATATATATTCCGGAATGAATATAATACGCACGCTTAGCTGATAGCTAATTTGGTATGCAAGAGCCACTGACTGTAACCCTGAAACGAATAGAGAGAAGACCGAAACTGGCAGATGGGAACCCACATAACAAAAGTGCTGATTGTTTAAAAAGTATAAATAATCATTCAAACAAACAATAAGTACGATTTTGAAATTACGGAGAATATTTACAGCTCAGATGAATGATCCCTGTTGTGTTGCTTTTTTGAGCTGGGGGGGTGGGGGGAGGGGGGGGAGGTTTAAGTCATGGAGCATCAAAAATTCAGTCCGTAACAATGAACATTTCCAACTAACCTGAATTCTTTTGTTGTGGTTCATAGATTGAAATTGTGTCGTCTGACAGGTAACAACTAATCACAAATTGGCGTTCACGATCCACTGGTCTTTCAGATAGTAGACGTGCAGCAAAACGTAGAATATGAGATTCTATGCCTTGACGATCCAGTTCCATAAACTGTTTGAAATTATGATTTGGTGCTGTTGGTATAAGACTAAAACAGTTAGCCAATGAATCTTCTTCTGTACCCCAGCCATTGTATGGTGGGATTTCACGTTTCACAGGGATACGAGTATCTGGTAATTTAGGTTTAACTGGAGTAAACTCATCTACATTATTTTTTGATATCGTAGATGATAGAAGAAGAGGTAAAGAAAAAATAACTTGGTTGTAGTACAGTTTGATGGTAATTTTTCAGATTAAAAAAAATATAGACGCATCAGTGCAGATAAAACTTTTGGCTAGATATCAATCCTGTTTGAGATGCGTCAGGAAAACATACCTTCAGTTTGACGAACATTGTGTCCAAGATTCCAGGTTCTGTAACTAAAAGAAGTCTAATTGAAGATCAGGTATACCAAACCCGATAAAAGTAGGCTGGTTTTAAACCTGACATTAGATGTATCGATCAGATATTCACCCTCCACCAGGCTATGGAACGTAGGCACACCTACAATCACCCGAAACAAGCTATTCTTTTTAAAATGAAGGCGGCGTTCAGCTCCTTCGATCGATCGGCTCTTATAATAGTGTCTATCACCAAAAAGGATGCCGAGTAAGTGCATCACCCTGACGTAGGCTGTGTATTCAAACACCCATGAGCATATCACAGTCTTTGTCGAGGTGTCACGTGAATTCTACACGCCAAGTGATGTCCGTGATGGATATCCGTTCTCTCCGTTCGTGTTTAATTTTTTTGCAGATATGTTTATGAAAGCCCCATTCTTCTCATATGAACTCAGAGAGGTTGTTACAGGAAGCTAATTAGTAGAACCAGAGTACGTACATGATATAGTCCTATTAGGTGAAGCTGCTTACAATGTGCAGAACCTATTGGACACCTCAGGCTGCATTTCGAAAATATTTAAGATGTTTTTCTTATCATCTAAGCGTAAATTTCTTTCCCAGGACTGGTTGATGCTTTGTTAAACAATAGAAAGCGAAGCGATTAAATGTGCTGAACACTTCCCTTACCTAACTCTGGTGGGTCAATTACCAACGAGATCTCTACATGGGCACAAAATGCTCGACTGGCTTTTGCCAATTTACGTCATTTATGGCACCACCATGATATCCGATTGCCTATTCGGGATTGAGTGTACTGTACTGCAGTTCTCTGTGTACTGATATAAGGCTATGAAACGCAGTCACTGAAGTTGAAGGGGATAAAAAGGTTTCAGGTGTTCGACTACTGTTACTTTCATAGCGTAGGCTGCGGTTCGTGTTGTCACCATGTCAGTAACAAAGAAGTCAGGTGTAGAGCTTCAGTCAAAAAAGGAAAACCAGTCGATGCAATTTTTAGCCTCCATCAACTAAGGTGACTGGGACAGGCGTTACGCATCCCTAGTCTATGTATGTTACGTTACGCAGTGTCTGATGACCTAGATTTAGGCCGACAAAAGTTCAAGAAGGCCTGAATAAAACATGGCATCAGACCTTGAAATTTCTATTTGTCTGAGTTGAGTAGGGTCCGCATGACAGCTGAAATCGGTGGTTGGAGGCTGCAGGTGATGTGGCCCACAATCGATCCACATATTATCTTTACCTTAGTCATCATACCGAACTTTATTATCGTCTCGTTCCCTCCTTCCTACCTGTTGACGACTTCCTACCACTTTCGATTTCATTATTATCTATTTATTTGTCTTTCATGCTGGTACATTCTTACTTGGTGTGCTGATATGACGTGAGATAACTTGAACCATTAGGCAGTAATGCTCAGTCGGATGTTAATACTGAGTGACTGACGTAACTTCAAAATTAAACCGGTTCCAATATGGGGAATCAAGTAGTCTGCTAAGAAAGTCCGGAGTAGATGAAATACTATTCATGGTTTTCCAACTTTCAGGAAGTTCACTGGCAGTATGATAGAAGTATATGACAAAAACTGTCTTGAATTGTATTTAATTTAGTAGTAGCTGTTCCAGGAATACAGAATAATTTTCATCTCCCACCCGAGATTAGTCACTTCAACGTACTTGTATTGCTGTAACTGCTGATCTACCCAGGGAAACTGGTAACTTAATGGTTTAGTAAACAAACCTCTGAGTTTTAAAAGATGATATATTATGACTGAAAAGAAAACAGTAGTCTCACGAAAAGATTATCGACCATATTATCTTATTTATTTTAAAAGGCGTTTTATGGAAGCCTTATGGCCTACTTTTGATTTACTTAATGATGCCTAGCAGCAGAATTCAGGTCTCGCGTTTCGTCGTAATTGGGACTCGTCGTCTTATAGTATTATTACATAGATTAGCTCACCAGATTTTGAGTTTTCTTCTACCCAATCTAATAATAATAGCGCTTGAAAACATTAGCCTCGTATATGAACTCAACTGCAGTGCATTATCCGAATTTCTGTATATGAAATTAATCATTTCATTTTTATGAACTATGATGCATTGTCCATGATTCAATTCGTGCAGAATAGAAGGGTGGGAAGCCGTTAGTTTTGGTTTTTCACTGTACAGTATCACTTAAACTGACTACTTATTATAATAAAATATAAGTCCAGATCGCTTTGTTTTCTATTCACTGGGAAACATTGAAAATCTTATTTAATGGTAAAAATGTTGCATTTCACTGTCGTTTTGAAATAATTATATAAATTTTAAACTACTCGCTAGTAGTTTGGGTTGCATACGAAAATACTTATGTAATTACTGAGATATAGCTGACTATTGACCGATACATTAGATCCGTAAAAGGGAAAGCATGTTTCATTATAATAAAAAGTCAGTTCAAGTGATAACAGCAGGATTGCTGTTCTGCTGACATCAGAATATTCATTCGTGAAATTAAAAGCAGCGATGGTAAGTGAAGAGGTCGTAATAACTTACGTAAACCGTATTTAATACGATAGTATTCTTTGGTAAATTCATCACAATCACAGATTAAGAATTTTCTACCATAAACGTTAATACTTGCACCGATTGTCAAATCATGATCTTTGTAAAAGTCATCCTTGGGTGCACCGAGCTGAAATTATACGAGAAAGGGAAGGAAAAGTATTTATTCATTCTCAGCTCCATTTAGCTGTTTGTATAAAATAAAGGGTGCTGATTAGTTTAAGGTAGTTTTCATTACGAAGAGATATTATTTACTGAATTACTGGGAAGTGGAAACTCATCGAAACTCATCATCAACTGAGGATATAATGTCAACTCATGATGAGGGATATCTTCGTTTCTCCTCTTCGTGTGAATTATACCTTTTGATAACTGAATTCATCAGTCGATAAGGGCGGAAGATATTTATTTCTCTACTCTCTTAACTTCAGCTAGTGAATTTTTTTTGAAAAGAGTAATACAAAAAGTACTCAACACTACAGATCGGTAGGTGGTAAATTCCAAGGTTGACGGTGAGTGAACAGCTACTGAAAAGGGAAAATTACTAGATAGCTGCTTTGATATATTCTTGGGTTTATATGTGTCACATAACCATGATGTCCTTTGGAACTATTGTAAGTAACTGTTGAGTCTCTATCAACTTGGCCAACGGACGCCATTACTGACGATCAACTTGTGAAATGCTGTAAATTTACCAGACATCAACTTCTGGAGTAATACCAAACAACCAGGCTGGTTCTCAGAATGTGACTTTTTATTAGAATCTCAAAGAGGCATTATTGTTATCCATTGTAGAATAGGGTGAGACGACTACCTAAAACTCTTGACTTAGAAAGCGTAGTTGACTAGCTCGTGTCAGTAGATTCTTTTGTAGGAGAACCAAAGGTGGATGATTGCATAGAGCTTGATTTATTTTAACTTTGCCCAATACATAATTAAATAATACAAGTTTAATACTCATTGGCTTGATGATATGTTGGACACCTCCAGTTCACACAGTGAATCAAGCAGGCAAACTGAAACTTTTTGATTGAATCCAAATTTCTCCAGCTAACTAATTAGTGAAGGAATTGACTAGAGTATCTGGTAGGATCCTAGTTGGCAATAAACATAGCTTAAAGTTTTATTAACAGGCATGTCTTAGAGTGTAAGCTGTAAAACAATAAACTGGTGGTTAGAATTCTAACCTGAATCTAGACTTCTAGAATTTAGTCGTCGTTTGAATATAAACATATCGGTGGGAAATTAATAGTTATGTTGGACAGTGTAATTCCTATTCAGCAATTTCGGAAACACGAGAGTTAAATTTTTAGTTTAGCAAAAACTGGAAATTTAGATGATAACCTATATATACTGAAACGATATTCTTAATGTCAACAAAAGAAATACTTGTTTCAATGTTCACTATTACCTTTAAACTGTCAAGTACATAATGTCCACCTTTTTGTGAATGACCAAATACATTTAGTAGTGTTCTATCAGTTACCACACCAGGTAACGGTATCGGTGAAATTGAACGTGGTAGTTTTTGACGACGTAAAAAGCATGGAACAGCATCACGACCTGAATTAGCCGGTATAATTTCACGTATTTCGATTGTATCATCAGCTAGATTGACAAATGAAGCGGAAAATATAGATTAAAAACCTCTGAGATGAAAAAGGTGTGAATTTTACGTGGACACTACCACAACACGGTGAAATCACCATGTCAGCAATGTAGAGGTTGTGAACCTTCATCGATTAGAGTAGCTTGGGCATGTTCCGCGCTTGCCCAGCTACCGCCTACCTCGACATTCATTGCTAGGAGAAGTAAGATTAGACTGGAAGAAGATTGAGGATGGTCAGAGTAAGACATGGAACCAGTGCATTAAGTCGCTAACTATCGGTATGAGTCATATATAGAGGTGTTGACTATTATTACGGGGTCGTTGAGATGGAACGAATCAGTGGTTGAGGTCTGTTGGTGACATGGCTGGAAATCTGTCATAGTGGCATAGTCATACTTACTCTTTGATGTCTTCTAAAGTCTAAATGTAATGAATAATCTTAATTTTTAAACTCCGTCACCTCCCATAAACTTTTGTCGACTTCGATATCAGTCCTCATTACTCACTTATTCTTTGCATGCTACTGTGAAATATGGTAATTTGGACCGATGCACCGGTGTGAAAGGTTCTCCTTTGATTTTATTTGTCGTCTGGAAGCCACTAACTGTTGAGCTGAGTGATTTTGGTTCACACCTCTTTAGGCCTATACGTTATCTGTGACTATCGACAAATGTGACACCTTAGTTATGGAGGATTTCTGGAGGTATATCTAAGATAACCGTGAAAACAAAACCTAATTTGCATCAAAAAGCGACAACTGGTTAGGATTCTATCATGATCGCGGCTTTGGTTTCAACTTTCACCTTCACTCCTTTACATAAGTAGAATTTCCTGATAGTTAATTTCATCATTTAGATAACATGAAATACGCCGCACTACCCCACCTTCAACTAAAGCTTGATCTTAACACATTAAAAAATAAGTGAATAAATTCAGTGGAATAAGATTACGAAAATAAATTGATGAACTGAGTTAAACTTATCACAGATGATGACTGATAAACACAAACCAGATAATCTACGCCTTCTAATTACATTATCCAAAGTACATACATTTTGAAATCATATTGGATGAAAAAAGTAAGGCCACCTATTCATCTCCAGAACTGGCAAATCTCTTTTGTATATTTTTGATGAACATAACTCCATAGGTCTGATATGAGGCTTTTTTCATTGCATGAATTGTCTTAGATTAAATTAGGAGGAAATAAGAAGAGTTCAAAAGAAAACGTTTAAACATTTAGAAGTATACACTTTCTGACTAACTTGTTTTATTCATCTGCTGACATTTTCCGTGTATCAATTCTTATGCTCTTGTGAAACTGATTACACGGATCGCATACAGAGAGAGAGAGAGAGATTGTCCAGTATCGACACAATACCCTTTAGTATGGCTCAGTGTAGATGAATGCAGATAGACTAGGACATTTTTATAAAGTTGGGTTGATATTGGATAGATATTTCTAGAAGATTCACTTACTATTGTCTATAAAGTAACGTGGGATCTCCAGGAGTTCGAAGAAAGATTTACTTTGGATTTCTGATGTTCTGGCAATGTAAAACTGATAGTCAGAATTGTGTATCTAAAAGCAACGTTTCTGTTAACTGTGGATATTTAGATCCTAATTCTTAAGCTTTATGATTATTAATATTTATTGATACTTGTGATTTTTTGTTATTATTCTGGATCAAACTGATTGATATCTGTTGGGATATGGGCTCCTATGCGGATACCTTGATATTGCCTAACTATTCATTATGTTGTAATTTGCTTGGTCATGACTAGCAGTTGAATTGAGGACACGAATTTCGTCCTGTTTGGAACTCGCTTTGGCGTTCGGAACAATGGGCGCTAATTACGAGTCTCAGTAGGAACAATATCACTGACTTGGGTGTACTACCAGCCACCACTAATTAAATTTCTGGTTACTAAGCCTAATTAACTTTTTGATTTCCACTTGGCCATTATGTGAACGTTTGAACTCAATAGATGTTTACCCTCTTTGCCACACACTATTCACTCTTGATTTCAACTCATAACTGTTTATTGATATTGTCAAATAGTCTATGATGCACTAACAATGATGTCTAGCACGATGTTGAAACGTTTGCCAAATGAAACCACAATCCAGAGAACGATACAATCTCAACGTCCACATCATGACCCAAAAATATTCATCACCCTTTATAGTTTGATATCTCGTACGTAATTCTCAGTTCTTTATTGTTTTCCTGATCACAACATATAATAACAGTTATTGTTTGCCAAATTCTGCTGGTGTTTTTAACCATCATTTGTTCAGAATAACTATTTTTGTTTATGATTGTACAATTTTTGAAAATGATTTCGTGGATAACAAATTTTCCAATAGTCTTCTTTGTATTGTCATTCACATCCAGTCAAGAATTTTATTTCAGGTCACTGACTACTGAAATTTAGTGACTTCTCTGTTAGTATGAATTTTCTTTTGGTCTGATGTACACCCTATAGTTACTACCGACAAGCATTAATCATAAGTTAGATAGGACTTCCCCATGATTAACAGCTTTACCGGTTACAGTTCAGTGACTAGTTTGTAAGAGTGATGCACGTTCATAACTGTCAAGGGGTACAGTTTTCATGAGGTTTTTACATCAAACTGGTTGATGAGTTGTTGTTAGGCTGAGATCTGTAGTCTTAGCTTGCTATTCATTTTGTTTAGGCATTCAAGAACAACATGTATGTAAATCAGAAGATTCCCCAATAACTTTAACATTAACAATTTTTATATTTCTATTTTCAAAAAGACATTGTATTGCTGGTGGCAGATTTTATGGTATTGTTGAGAGACAATGACAAACGTTATGTTTGCAGCGATTAGAAAATATGAATACTGTTTGAATAGTTCAAAACAAACATTTCAAAAAGGTAGTTACCCAGAAAGTAATTCAGTATCATCTCTCTAGGATCACCATAAAGTGATTCTGTATCATCCCAAAAACAGAAAAATCTTAAAACATGACGATCATGATCAAGAAATTGACGAAGTTTATCCATTCTTTCATATGGTCTAAGAGGTTGCATACTTTCAGTGAACTAGAACAATTTAATAAAGAAGATAGAAGAAGAAAATCAGAGGTTTGTTTCCAAGTTACCAAATATATGAAAGTAGAATAATTGAAAGGTATAAACATTTGGTTTTGTAAGTTGCATCGTATAGCAGTAATCAATAAATATGAACATTTGGCGAATGAAGTACGAAATAAGGGTAATTTGCATCAATATTTATACCTCAGTTCGAAATATTCGTGCCAAGTTGTTTACCTACTAACAAGTAGTACAAGTGTATATTGATAAGTTTCTCGGAAATTATTGTGTCACTAATGTAAACTGAAATTAACTAAGAATAGCAGTTTAAGCATATGACATCACTTGAATAAAACTGGTGTATACTACAACTTACAACATCTAAACCATATACATCTGACTGAAAGACATTGATTTAATGACTTGGCATCACTTAGTGATTTCGATAATGAACTGTGCCTAATTAAACAATCACCAACTGTTAGGGTGATTGTCGAAGACTATGTCCTATGGATAATAAAGGAGCATTGAAAACGTGTTGTAAAACTTGAAAGGGAATAGCATCACAGTTTTAATCCATAGATTTCGCGGGAATCCGTTCCACTATGTAGTACTGTTTAAAATAATGGGCATTCTTGTTAACTATTTTGACGGATAATTTAATAACGCATGAGAAACCGTACTGTCTATGAAGCTTACAGTCTTATTAACATGAAGTGTTCATTAGTTGATGTAAACAGCACTTAGTAGTAAATAACTCCTGGAAGTTACAACTTCAGAGTGGGTGGTACTATGCTTACGGTGTTGTATTAAGTTGGAGTACATTTAGGGAAAATAATGTTTTTTCTCTGGGATAAGATTTCATTCATCTTATGAACACTAGAGGTCATCAAATGCACGTCATACACAGATGGTTTTCGGCAAGCTAGTGTATCAAACGGAACATTTTCATATCTATATATTATACACTACTACTGACTGAGTACCATGAGTATCATTCAAAGTGATCAGCACCACCTACGCTAAGGATTTAAAGTGATCTGAGAGATGAATAACCATTTCATTCTTTGACGTTTGACCTCATCACCTCTTTAGTTAGAATGATTAAAACCAAGTAGGTAGATTACTGGAACTTCTAAGTGTTCACTTCAGTAAAGTGAGCTTATTTCTGCAAAGTTTACGGAGAGTAGCGAGTGCGACATACCTAAAAGACACTTAAATGAGAAATATGATGATGATTTCCTATGGGAATACAAACCTTCTAATTTTAATATTCAGTTTGACCGAAAGACTCAGTGGAGTTGAGATTAAGTGTCTGAATAGTGTACGATATGTTTGGTTCACATATTGAAGCTTCACTCAAATTTTTGGCTCAGTTCCAAATTTCAGGCCGGCCTTCAGATTTATGGATGTTTTCACACAACCTGGTGGATTGGTTCGCTAACCGATCAGGAGACATTCAAGCAAAGCGCTCACATGAAAACGAGCACTTCTACTAAAGCTTTCTGTTAATACCCTATTAAAATGATTAGCTCTACTCCAGGACCTTTTTAACTGTCTGGTCTCGATGTATGAACATTCTCCGGGTAATCGGTCCGTTGACTGTACTGACCTCCCCGTAGGCAGACGTACATGAAACTCCTGCAGATGAAGTCTGTGCAACCTTAAAAACTGAATGAAGCTCAACATCCCTAAAAGACGTTTCACTAGGAGACCTGGACAACGAACCCGTAATGCTGACAGATTCGTAGCAGTGGCTACTTTCGGACTACTGATATACATCCAGGGTTGGAGCTAACAAAACCGGCGTTCCAGACTGAAAATCACTTGACCCTGCAAGGCAAACTATGACCAATCTCTTAGGATTGCCTCAAAAACGATGATCACCGGAACTAGGAAGCTGAATTCACCTTACCTTTTGGCTGTATTACAGAATCCTGTTGGCTTGTAAGACCGTTTTTTGGAGACTAGCCACTGATCCTGCACATACGGGTCTCATCGATCCTCGTCTTATCTGAATCAACTTGGCGGTGTATTGGTTGATATCCCATGAGGCGGCAAAGAGGCTCACGGTCTTAAGCGACTAGTCCCGAACCATTATCGCCAGCACACATAGCATCCTCAGTTTTCACCAGCCGGAATCACTTAACCACATAGTGTAGAGGTTCTTTCCGCTGATGCCCTGCCAAGTAACCATGGAGCGGATCTATGCTGCCTAGAATATGTGGAGGTGTGGCTGAGTGGATTAAGGAGATGACTATCACCATCTGTTCTGTCCTTGCAGAAATATAGAAAACAACTGGTGTTGCTGATACTTAAATGATTAGCTGATCAAGTTTCAATCAAGCAACCCATCAGATGTCATTCAACATGACCCTTAAACTAGCAGGGGACCAGTATATCTTAAATTCTGTTTGTCAGAAGTGACCGCTAACATAGTTATTGTTGAGACGTAAAAAATAAGAAATGATTCGAAAATAGAAAGTAAGTTTATGTTTCCTTATCGTAAACTCAAATTACTCACAGCTTTACGATGTATACTATATGGATCATCTGGTATTGGTTCCGGTTCACCTAGGCGTACACCAAGTTTGCGCAGAAAATTTGACGTGAACTGATCACAAGCAACAATACGAAACGTTTTCCCATAGGCTATAAACTCCGTTCCCACATTGAAATCATACACAGTATAGTAGAGGTGATCATTTGGTGGTGGTTTATTTATACGATGTCGTTTAACAATTGTACCTAAGTATCATGCAATAAAAATTGTTATTGTCATTATTATTACTATCTACTTTATGAATAGAATTGGTCCGGCTGAGTTTCGATAGCAATGCGAGGAATGATATGTGGATTAGGTATCAAGTTTTTGGTTACAAATTTCAAACAAAAATACCAGTGTTTGTTCTGTTCTCAAATAAACAATATAATGACAACTCATTAAAACTGCTGTAACTAGTTGCTGAGTTCAGTAAATCTACCGTAAACAACAACAAACCAATTTCGGCGAATAGCTGAAACTAAGCATTACATAAAATTACTTATTATTCACTGTTCAATTCATGTGTATTTTCAAGCCTTAGCTAAGATCTTCACTTGTGAGGTGATAACTTAGGTATCTACAGTTCTGGCAGACATATAGTTGAAAACTGAAGGAAGCCAAAGTTGCTCCAGGTCAACAAGAATGATTTTCAGTTTTGATTTTCTTCAACTGTCCACAGTACCCTACTAATACCAATAAAACACTGTGAGAACACAAGCATATACCTGGGAATTGTTTCTGATTGTATAATGATGAAAATATTTAAGGGATGTGTTGGATCTGGAGGAACAGTATATTAAGTCAGTTGCAAACTGAAAGCTACTGTCTTCTGATGAAGTTTGGTGCTACAAATTAATGCTGACAAATGTTAATTCTTGATTTCTCACACTCTAATTGAGCATCAGTGCATTGCTCAGAAGACTTAAGGGTGGAGGTTGAGAGGCAAAGATTTATTGGTATTTGTAATTTCCGGTTTTTATTCTGAATCAATTGATTGACATCTATCTCTTTGTATATGGGTTCCTATGAGGATGCCTTGATATTCCCTGATTATTGATTATGTTGTAGTTTACTTGGAGCTGGCTAACAGTGTAATGCAGGACGTGCGTTTCGTCCCATTTGAGACTCACTTTGACATTTGGAGTGATGGGTGGTGGGTTAAAGTCTCAGTGAGAACAACATCGCTAACTGAAGTAAAGGTAGATCCAACTGACGAGTCTAAAATAAGACAAAATGTACATCGTGGATTCCCCTGCTAGCCAACATCAAGTAAAATACAACAGAAAATCAGAGATCTTTCAATGAGGAAAATATTTTTTTCAACAACTTTATTATCCAGCTGTACATTTATATTTATAATTGGTTATCAGTTAGATGGTTATCATAAAAGTTGCCCAGTCAATATTCACATGATAGAAAAGATAACAGTATGTTTAGGGGGACGTGTTTAAACGAACAAAATATGAAGGGATCCATACTAAAAGTCGTCAGGTTAATGTGCATAAGACGTTTCTTCCCTTCTTAAGACTATACAACTAGCTAAAGCCATCTGTTTTCCATACAATTACGTAGGATCCAATCATACTAACTTTGGATTACCAGTAAACCACTCAGAAGTGTATTTTTCATGTACATTTCAGGTTTAACAATGTGATTTACAGTTAAATGAATTGTCTACACTAAGGGATATTTTCATGGAAAAATTTGAGAATGGGTCATTGCAAGAAGTAGTCACTAAAATTTGTTTATCTAGAAAGTAAGTGGGCGATACTTTTGTCATTTATGCTGAAAACTATCTGGTTGAACAAATCCTTGAAAGATTCAATCATTGCTACCCATCTGTAAGTTTTACAGTCGAAGAGTCAGATTGGATATTTCCTTTCTTAGATGTAATGTTTAAAAAGAGAGGTGGTAATTTTGCTGTAGCAGCAGTTGAGTTTCTTTCAGCACGAGAAAAGCCTTCATTTATTTGTTATGCTCCAGAATTATGCATATTTAAAACATAATGTGAACAAAGAATATTCTTTTCAACAAATGCTCATCATATTCTACACTTATATAATGGAATTGTTCAACATAAGAACAGCCCAAGTTTTGCAGTAAATACGTTTTCAAAATGGAGTATGAAATAAGAAAGGCAAGGAGACCGAATTTCTTTTTACCACTTATCATTAATAAAATGATTTGTATATAATTTCATTTTACAACTGCAGAACTTGGAGTCTGTTTATTGAGAACATTCTTTGTTCTCACTGTCACTTAATTCGCGAATATTTTCTCGAAAGATGAAATTGACGGAGAACTTGATGTTTTCTGAACAACGCTAGTGAATAATGGATATTTTCAAGGATTTACAGATAAACACCTGAAGGAACAAATTATCTTGTGTCACATTATAGTACTAAAGAAAATCCTTGCTAGTAATTCGGGATTCGGAATGCATAGATTGCCGGAAATATTGGGGAGTCGCCTAATCAAACTCACCATAAATACTTTATAGTCTGCTAGTTTATGTTCAGTGTTCTCAAGCTGATAGATGATTCGAAAATGTGTACAGGACATTCTATCACTTGTATTTTACTCCAGTGAGTATTTGTCACTTCACATGCTCCTATGAAGGTGATTATACTGAGCTTTGTAAGCACATTATCCAGAAATGAGTTGCGTAATACCATCTGGCCTGGTTATCAAAAGAAAAGCGTAGACTAGAAACACCTTCTATCAGTTAACGTCTTATAAAATCATATTATCCAGCTGTTCACCATTTATCTTTCAGATTGATCTATGTAGTTAAGTTTATTTACACTAAAGCACGACGTTTTTACTATTCATGCAGAGCCAAAGAATAAATAATGCAACAACAAAAACCTGAACTCTCTACCTTTAAAAGTGTTTTGTAAAACCTCCTTCTTTACCTTGGGCTTAATAATATTCTGCTAGGTTAATTTTAATTCGTATGTAGTTTCATTTTTGATTATCATCGTAATTGTTGCTATTAAATCATTTTTTTAAAAGCACCTGACACATATTTCATCTTTTGGAGTTGGTTTCTTTCTTCAATGACCCTTCATACAATCTATTCTCTTCGAACAGTCCCTCCTCCCCGCCTACTTATATTACTTACATACTAACTTGGCAATTTCGAATACAACTGCTTTTTAGTTTGAGGTTTATGGGAATTTTATTTATTTTAAGTTAGTATTCACTATGAACTGACAACATTTGGAGAATCATTGATAACCTGAGGTCACTGGACAGCTGTTTTGACCAAGTAAAAGACTTCTTAGCACTACACACCCATGACTCCACCAGGGATCGAACTCCTTCAGTATTTTATTCACTCCATCTAAACACATCTTGTTATGTTTACTATCATGTGAATATTGACTTTAGTAGGCATGCAAACAATCAAGGAGTAGGTAATTTTGTATACTAGAAAAGTTTGCAAGTTCACTTAAAAGTGAAAATTTTGAATGCATTTGAACAAAAATAGTATTTAATTGTTCAAAGTGTCAACAAGTAGATTCTTCTCAGTATGGCAGCTAATACTGATACCTGGAAAGTAGGGAGGAACTTGGAGACTGCTGGTTTAAATCTCATCTCAATCCAGGGTTGTGTTCCACAATCGGTCATCACACAGTAACGATAGCATCGGCCTATCAAACCAGAGCTTTCTCGGATAACCCAATTAATAAACTATAAAAACGGTTGAGAAATAGCGGAATACGACTACAAGTTAATAGTACATCAATGATAATTGGTTTATCTAACTGCTGCCATCCACATAAAAGAATATACCGCAGTAATATGGTACACTACAAAGTCTAACAAAACAGTTAGTCTTAGAAAAAAATGTTGTGTTTGCTCTTATGAGCACATACGTTCGAAAGACAAAGAATGAAGCTGCAGTTTAGTAATACATTTGAATCTTATACTTTGAAAGTATGTAACTGTTTCTCTTCAAGTACATTACTGTTACAAATATCATTGGATAATAAAGATATCAATTAAAAGATGAATGGTTACCATGAAAGTTGGAAGCTACAAACCACTTCTTGAATACATGAATGAACTGAAATAATTATTTTAAAAGTTATCTTCACCGCAGGTGGAAATCATTCAGAGAACCACTGAAAACCTAGAAACACCTGACTGATTTTTAAAGCACCTCAGAATCACACACTCATGACCGAGTAGCGAATTGAGCCATGGGCCACCAGATCTTCTGATAAGCGGGTTACCTACATTGACTGGCCGTGGTAGAGTAATCAATTTCGTGTTGCTGAGTCCTGAGTGCTGACCGAATTCTGTCGATCATTTTTGCGATGTTCCCATCAAGCTAGGAGGTCGAGCATCGCGGTGAACAGTGTTAGACCGCCCTCAGCTGAAATATATCGATGGTAATGTCGCTGACTACAACACTGGGTAATGCGGGTCGAAACTTCGGACGAGATTACAGTTACGCCTTGTGACGAGTGCCAGCAAGCACGAAACCTAGGAAGAGGGATTCCTGTCGATTGCCTCCAAACAACTAACATTTATTAATATGCACCGTAGTGCTGAGCTTCCTAGGTTGGTGGGTATAATGCGAAAATGACCAATATAATTCGGTCAGCACTCAGGACTGGATAACATGGACTTGATTGCTCTCCCACGACAAAAAAACGTGTGTAATCCAGTCCTACAGGAGGTTAGTCGCCGCCCGAATAGCTTAGTGTTAACGTCGCCGACTAAAATACTGAGCGACACACGTCTGAGTCCCAAGTAGGACATCAGTTCCCTCGAGGTTGCTGATGAGTGCCGAAAAGCATGAAACCTAGGTTCAGGGCTTTCTGTCGATTGTCTACAATCGACGAACACGTTTCCCATAGCCAGTTGGTTAGTATCCAACAGTACGCATTTCCAGAATTCTCTAAGCGTGTGATACAACGTAACCACCATTTAGTACCATCCACTGACCTAAGATGTCATGGCTTCTAAATACAGCTTCCGAAAGTCCATCCCAACTAAAGCCACCAATAGGTAATGGATAGTAACGCAGATGAATGGTTATGGATAAATACTCGCTGATGGGGTTAAGTGATATCAGTACAATGTAAAAAGTTGATAGAAGTTGAAAAATGTGATCTAGCGGAATCTAACTCATCCCTAAGCCTGACGGTTATGGGTTGAATTCGTTACGGCATCATTAGTTTTCCCTTCAGAGGAGTTTTGAAACAACTATCTAGTGTTTAAAAGTTACAAACAATATCAGTCAGTAGTGAAGATAACTTCGAATTGATTCTTTAAATTTATTCACTAAGTGATTCAGTTTTTCAGCTTGTCACATGTTTGTTTTAGCAATCTGACGATACGAATGCTGAACAACTGGTTCCACTATTTTGTTCAGCCTGTGAAACTTCATCCCTCGACTTGATTATTATCATTATTATTTCATCAATGCATCGTTTGCTTTGTAAGCAGCAACAAATGTAAAGTACTTCAATGTCTACTTAACCTGCGGTATGTTTTTTACACTTATAGATATTAGTAATGAAATGAGCATTGCATTCATCATTCTCTATACTGATATCTTGTTTGTACTTCGCTAAAATTCGACAATGAAACCAGTTATAGGAATCCACAAAAATAACTTGTAATAACATGTATGTAATAACATGTTACAAGAAGGCATAAAGTTATTTTCGATGAAAATAAGCCTTTCGTTTGTTTGCTTATTTTTGTTGGTATTATTGTATTACCTTGTGATATTCCAGTGTTTGCAATACGTGGTTCAACAATTTGAACTGTATCATCTTCTGGGTAAAATAGTATTTTACACCGTCTAATACGATATTGTTCTTCACGTCTTTCATGCACAGATTCTTGGAAGTATGCATCAAAAGATAATGCCTAAATTAAAAGGAAATAGAGAGTGTGTGTGTGTGACAGAGAGGGATTATAAGATGGATAGTATTAGCTATATTGACAATAAAGAGATACAGAAAGATCAAGAACGACATGCGATTATGAAACATCCAGGTAAAATACTTTAGGGATTGTTCAGAAACCCACAACTTGTTAATATTCTTCATCTATAAATGCTATTCCTTAAAACTATTCCAGTATGGAATTTTAGTTATTTGTAGGCTATTCTGATGGCTTTAGGATAGACTGTGAATGTATTGTAGTGTAAATTATGTAATTTCAGTGTTAAGCACTGAATGAATTTGAAGTGCTTTTTTCTGGCTTCTAAATTAGTTTTCTTATCGTTTAGATTCGGTAAACATTTTCCATGGAGGGTTTTAGCGAAAAACAGTGGTAACTACTAGTAAGGACTAATCAGTTAACAAATTAGTCGGATCAATAACCGACGATTATTCTTTGTGTAGACATCTCTAAAGAAGAAAATAATGCATCAATTTAGGCGCCTGAAATAAAACTTACTTGAAAGTTATTAATAATAAATAAGGTATCATAGAATTACACTCACATGGCCATCACTACCACAAAGGGTTCTAAAAACATCATTAAAGAATGTTACTGGAAGAATGTTTATAGAATCTGATGTCTTATATCATAAAAACTAAGTGAACTTGGTAACATTGAGCAATAATCTACTACTTACTGTTAAAACATTACTCAAAAGCATGAAAGGTAAATTTAACTTTAGTTCAGACATAAGAAGAAATAAATTTACAGAGCACTGGATAACTGTTTCACCACAGTATGGTACTGTTCTGCAGTGCACATGAAGTTGGGTGTGAGGAAAAATACTCACCAATGGGAATGAACAATGGTCACGCTCTATCGCGAATCGACAGACGTAGAAGACAGTTGTTCATTAGATTCAGAATCAGTGGCTAAACGTTCAACACGCATGCAACAATACCCGAGGGTTGTAGGTTCGTCGTTGGTGTATACTGCTAGGGAGTTCGATATTTGGGTGAAACAGCTATCCGGTGCTACAGCGTTATATATATATATATATATATATATTAAAATGGAATTTCATGGTATGGTTCGAAAAAGCCTTATTCATTGTCCTGGTTTTAAATAGAAATATTTATCTCTACCAGTATTACATCCTTATATAGACGACAAAGTATATGAACTATTCAATAAAGAACTCTACCGAAATTTTATGAAATTTTTGAATCCTTCTTCCTAGCAAAACACTGGTTTCACTTAGCAGTCACAGAAAGAAATATTAGCTTTCTCGATGAACGCTTTCGTTGGTAAGCCAGTGTTATTATGGGTACTTATATTGAGAGTCAATAAATATCATCCAATCTAATAATACTGTCAATAAAGATCAAGTTATATCTTCCTTAAATTGCTCGTCAGGACTTCCAGTATTAAACAAAAAGCAATAGAATCGGAATGTCTTCTAAAATACGCCCGAGATATCAGCATTTTATTGACCAGTGGGAACCGATTATTTATGATTCCAGTCAACAAGTACTGTGTAGATATAAGATTGAAATGGGGTATAACATGAGATCAAATTCAAATGCTTAGCTATCAACGTTTACTAGATATACAAGCTGAAGACCAACATAAACCTCGTGCGGTTAATATGGGGACAAAAAGCAATGCATCAAGTAAAATGAAGCCAAATGTTAACTGTGAGTTAGCTTTATTCTCTTACCATAAAAATGAATATCGGCTAAGCATGAGTACGTTATGATGACTTAGAAAAACTTCTGAATTAGGTGAGGGCATAGGATGAAACAGTTGCACGAAAAAATAAAAACGGCTTGATAAGTACTGAATTAGAAAGATGGTGAAAACGTCATACTGTTAGCCGAGATTAACGAAGTTAAATGAAGGATTCCAAGTTTACAATTCCTCCTCTAAATCCTCAGCATTTACTTCTAGTGCACTTAAGAAACTCCGAATACTACCTGGAAAAATACTTTCGTTGCACTTATGAACTGTAGAGCAATGCTGGAAATTGTTGATTACTTTCCAAAATACATCCCATAGAAAAAGTCTTTCTATGTGTGAATGAGTTCTTCTGTGAAGAAGTGAAATTAAGACATAAATATTGTAAAACTTCCGGAGTACACTTCAGAACATTCAGGTGCAGTTTACAAATTGACGAAGTCTCGGATGAAACTCTTAAGAATTTCTTCGTATAGTGCTTCACACACCTTTTAGTTTAACACTCGTTCCTGCCCTATGGTTAGAGGTAGGTGCAAAGTGGGGTTATTTGATAATGTCTCAACATAGTCATCAAGAAATCGATGGCCCAGAGGAAAATATGATTAACCAAAGAAGACTGGGTCCCTGTGATGAGTAAGGATATAAGTACTGAAATTAATGCAACTCATGCATCCAAGCAAACCGTTGGTAATATGGTATCATTTTCCAGTACACCTAAATGGAAAATAAGCCACACTGTAATGACAGCTAGTAATAAACACATTAATACTCCCTCTCACTAAATAGTGAACACGGGATATATCACGATACCGTAGTCTGTAATCTGAAGGGTTCAGTTAAACTGATCCTGGGAAGAAACATTCGTTAGACGACGGACTAAGTAAAGGGCTTATTTGTGAGAATCTGCCAAAGATTTTGACTGAACTTAACATTAAGAAGCTTATAAGAATAAGCAGGAAAGGTGGTAATGGCGAAGTGCTCTAGTGTGGAATCCTAAAAGTGGTTACAGTCTCTTTGGACCAACGAGATAAGTTAACTACAATTGTATATAAACTAAGTAAATCTAGTATTTCCATTAAGCCAGACTAGTCTCTGGAAGTCAAATTAAAAGCAAGCAGGTTATGGTGGAATTCGAAAACAGAGACCGAAAAGGCTTAAAGGTTGTATGTTTTCCAATAGTCACATCTCGAAACCGAATACTACCACAGCTTTCATGCATAACCATAGATAACCAAGCAATGGATTTGATATCCTTAGAGTTATATATAAGTTTCAGGAACTAAAGGCATAATTAGATGAATTTTATCTCATCATTTCGGCTGTTACGAAAGTTAAATTTTGTTCCAGACCTGAATGAAACACCTGGATTATGGGGATTTAAATGTCCACTCAAACGTTTGGACCGAAATTATGAAGGGGACTGGGTTTACTGTACTTTCCTAGGGACAAAGTTCTGCTTCTACCCAAGATTCTTGTCTGTTACACTTTCTGTTCGTATATGGCTGATAAGGTAGATAAATTTGGTTTCCTCGTTCTCTTAGGGAGTAGTGACTAAGCTTGGAGTTTTTTATTTGATCCACTTCAAATTTAGCCTCATTCGAGTATGTGGTATGCAAGCATTATGGCTACTACGGGACTAACTACATCTAGACACTGGTCAGTCAATGCTGACTCATCTATTGATGGTGAAAGTTGAAGTTCAGAAAAACGCTTCAAGCAGTTATATATCATTTAGGTCTTAGGACGATACACCATAAGCCACCAGTTTGTTCCCTTAGATTGTTAGGCAAGTTAGAAAACTCATCATAAGTGAAAAGAGTTATAGAATGTGTTGAGAATCAAATATTGTGGGTGCAAGGATTCTCCCAGCACCTTGACCAAATAAAAAGGAAATTTTGGCAAAAAAGTTTGTTGAGAATCCTCTCTGTTCTCCTAAGGAAATCTTTCATTAAAAAATGAAAAAGAAACGGAGAAGCTATGTAATTGTAACACCACACATTGGTGATGGTTTGACAAGCTAGTTAGAACATATATCTAAGGCTGAGGTGTCGTCATATCACTTCGGTCAAGTATTCTCAGAAAACTATATCTTTTCACATTTGTGACTTGAGAATGGAACCGTGGCTGACTGAGAGGCATGGTGTGCTACAATTGCTCCAGAATCTCAATACTAGCTAATCGAGTAGTCAAGATTAGCTACATGCCGCATATTACCAGTACCAGCGGATATCACTGCCGAACCGTTGTCAGTGCTGCTTAATATGCCATTAAACCTATCAAAACCATCAAAAAGTGAAAATACGTCATTATTATCCTGGTTCACAAAACTGAGCTTAGGCAATGAGTCGGAAGCTATCGTCTCGCTAATCTGAAAATAATAGTTGTCAAGATATTTGAAACTATCATCTCTGGTGTAGTTCTAAAATATGTCGAAGACAATGGATTGCTGGCCTATGATTGACCAGACTTATCTGACAAACCTCCTCGTTTCAACAGAATAATGGGAAGCATTTGAAAATATAAGTGTATCTGAGGGTGTGGTGTTAGTTGATTTAGATGAACCCTTCAAAAAAAACATATTTAGAGGAGATTGTGAACTGGAGAGTTTCGAAAGCGATAGGAAGGTGAGGAACTGCACGAAGGACTTTTTTCTTGACAGAAAACAGAAAGTCAGGTGTGATGGGGTACTAAACTTATGGAAACCGGTGAACAGTGATGCATCATAAGGTGTAATTCTAGGCCTTTCTCTCTTCCTACTTGTATTGAATGAACTGCGGATACGATTCAACTTGTCTCATGTTTGAAGACAGTAGTAAAATTTGAAAAGCAGCTCATAGTGATATGGATATGATACATCTTTGAAGTGAACTGAATGTATCAGATAAGTGGTATAATAGGTAATCACTGAAGGTAAGCAGTAATAAGAGTGCGGTCATGCTTATTGGTCATAACAATCTACATGACTACATAATCACTGACCTGCTGATACCCAAAGTTTCAGAGTGTAAAGATTCGAAGATCAGTGTGAGCCATGGCCTAAAACCTACAGCGAACTGCAAGGCGTCGGCGGGAAATCTTTTCAAGTCTCTTCGTAAGGTCATTCGATGCTTTTCTAAGGACATGCTTTGGATATTGCTTTCTACATATATCAGATATCATTCGGGATATAGAATTCAAGCAGCTATCTTATATTTTGAGTATGAAACAGATATACCGGGACGATTCCGATGGGGTAGGGAACTGAAATGATCAACGGCTTCAGTAATCTTTCTCGCGAAGAGTGATTAAAGTGATTTGACCTATTCCACTATCTTGCCTTAGATTGAGGAAAAAGCCTATAATACCTTACCGTATCCTATGACATAATTTGAGCAATAATATATCTTGTTTATCGCTTCCCTCTGGAAGTGATGACCTGAGAGATCACTGGAAAGTTCAAAAACCTTCATCGAATGGTCTATATTTGGAAATTTCAGTCTCACATCGAAGTACAAACAGGTGGAATTCCTTGCCTGGTCGCGTTGTTTCTGCACCCTTCAGGGTTATCACAGTAATAAATAGTGTGAAAATTTAGAGACTGCTTAACCTGCTATTTTAATTTCTGAAAAGTGAAAATTTAAGAATTTTTCCGAGGCTTCACAGCCGACAAGCGCTTTGTCACACTTTGGAATTTCTAAGGAAAATCTGGCAAACACTTTTAAGTGCCATACAGACAGTACATCCTCTCTCCTAAAAATGTCAAACATTTCTCCCGAAAATTTCAAAACCCATCCAAAATACACAGTGTCTGCAGTGTACCTAAATTTGTCAAGTTTTCTACAAAGAACCCAAAGATTTAGACATGCTAATCCCAAAAAGCACTCCATAGGACAAGCAGCTGCAGATAGGTAATCATAGAATATGAAATATGCAACGTTCAGTGCTATCCTAGAGGCTGGGATTTCGTGATATGTAATAGATTCGAGAAGGGACCAGAAAATTCCGAGGTGTACCCAAATTTAATTTCGAGAATGAACAAAGACAAATGCCTATAGAATTACTTTACCGGAGTCTTCTCTATAGATCATGATGTTGAAGTGCTTAATTGTGTTGCCAGCACTGCTCTACCAATGGATACAGTGTTCATAACAAGGAAATAGTCTTACAGTTGCTCAATAATCCTAAATCTAGAAAATACCCGGGTCCCGATAAGTTGCACTCCAGATTTCTATCTTTGCTAGCCGACAGTATTACTGAGTCAGTCACTAATATTTTAATATGTCCTTATCTCAGACTTGGATTTCTAGAGACTGGAAAGATGCTATAATCAGCTCAGTTTTTAAGGCTACTTGTCGCCAGCTGGTGGCTAACCATCTTCCTGCGAGCCTAACAAGCAAAGTTATTTGAAGAAAATAATTTGTGGTAAGGTACTTAACCATACTGAACTAAATAATCTTTTGGCACCACAGCATTACGGTTTTCGTGCTGGACACTCTTGACTAACAAAATTCCTCATCGTGAGAGAAGAATGAGTTGCAGACCATGACTAAAAGCTGTCAATAGATGCCGTGTTTATAGACTTCAGTAAGGGACTCCATAAAGTGTCTCATGCAAAATCTCTAGGAAAGCTCTTCTCTACTGGGTTTGATGCTGCACTGAAAGTCTGGAACTTTCTAAACGACAGAAGGCAGAGAGTGAGGATTACTGGGACACTATTCAGGTGGAAATCTCTGATGAGTAGAACTCAACAAGGAACAATCCGAGGTCCCATACTTTTCTGGTTATATGTCAATGAATTACGCTAAATGTTCAACTCTCCCATGCTGCTGTTTTTTGATGATGTAGATGTTGAGGGAGTCATACGTTGTGATAGCGGTGAGTATGCACTTTGAGCTGGTTTGGATGAACTGATAAATCGGTCAAACGCTTGTGCACAGAAATTAACTCTAGTAAAAGTGCAATAAAGCACATACATACTAGCAATAGTTTCTGGTACTCTTATGATGGCACACCACTACTACTCGTCTTCGAACTGAAAGAGTTGGGTGTCATTGCAGACCATAGTTAGGAAACGTCGGCAGACGGCGATTCAGCCTCAGCAAAGGGCTTCAAATTATTACCGTCCATCCGTAGAGCTTTCAAAAGTTTCTATCAAGATATCTTCAGGATACTGCATCCTAATAACGTTAGAGTTCGCTCGCAATATGGCATTCAGACTCCCAGCTCCATGCCTATAAAAAGACTTCGACTAGCACAAGTGCGTAAAAATGGTAGATATCAAGCTACCAGCACGACTTCCGAATCAGTCCCATGGGGAACAACCAGATCCGCTAAAATAAGTCTTCCGTCATATTATAGTAAACGTGGTCAACCGATACAGGTACACCGTATAATAACTACTTCATTGTATTTTCAAACAAGGAGGTGGAGACGAGTAATTAACCGGGAAAAATTTCTATGTCACTTCATTTGAAAACATTTTTGATTAAACCACAAACAGGATAAGATTTGATGCGTCAATAAAAAAGTGCAAAGAAAAACATCAAACATGGAAAGTCACTCACATATTATAATAGCATTCCGCATTTCTGATAATGACCACGGTACTGGCATGTCTTATCTCTTGTCTCCTACTAGACTTGGCCACCTCCAAGGGTATCACGAGAACATCTGAAAATCGTGATTGAATCAACTTAGCTTGAATCTACGTTTCTGTCATCAAGTGGTCAACGAGTGGAACATCTTACAAAAGCTAGCAGTATTTAAGGGATTGTATTTGCGCAAAATTGAAAGACACAGGGATCAGTCACTAATTATTCGTACTTGCTATTTGCCCACGAACACCAAAGCAAGGAAGAAGACAAAACAGTAGTCAGATGGGAAAAATATATTTTAGAGGTTGTGCCAAAAGACCGATGGGTTCCATCTAACTGGGTAGAGGATCGATTGCGAGTGATGCTACGCAACACGACATCATGCCACCCGGCGTAGATGCTTGACCATGTGCCCTCAGATTAGCGAGTTCGATAAAACTATGAAGGCCAGCATCAATCTTTAATCTCATCGAAATTAGGGTATTGATTTAGGGGAATTATGTGCGCTGCAGTATGAGAATCTACGATCAAAGCGTTCAAAGGGAAACTAGATCTTGATAGAGATATCGTTTGCAAGGATAAATACAGGCCAGCTGGTCTACTATCTTTATAACTGACAACTAGAAATTAAAATTCGCAGACTGCTGGCTTAACCAAGTATTGGTCCAACCGGAACACCTCTCATCAGTAAGACGGGGGAAATTACTGATTAACCTTTTACCGGCTAGTTGAATAGGTATTATAAATAGAATATAGAAGATAGAGTAATATATGCACTGGAAGTGCAACGTGAACGGTTAAGTTTCAAGTCACAACCCTTCCAGAAATCATACCTGCTTATCAAATGCAAGCCATGGTGGAAGCTGACTGCCTAGACCGGATGGATAAACACTGGTTGGTGCCTCAATTCTTTGTCCAGGCAATATATCTCCACCAATTCCTGGTCTGTCATCTCCATAAGGATATGCAATTTCGTTCTTTAACTGGAGGTAGTGCGACTTGTGGAAGTTTTCCTTTCCAATCTAAAACCAACAAATGAATGGAATAGATTCAAACATTTCTATTGAAACTATTTCCTGGAAGGAATGGAAGAGCCATTGTGAAGGATCTATTTAAGTAAGCGCATGTTACAAATCCATGGTCCCCATAAACTAAAACAAAGTTGGCTTCTGTATAGGAGTAGTAGGGCAATTTAACTTTTAATTGTGCTGAGGTTTATCAGGTGACAAACCTCAGAGGCTGAGGATACTATGTGAGAAGTGTAGTTACACGGTAAGATGACTGAGTGTGGCTAAAATTTATCACCAAAACAAATGTAACCGGCTTCCGTTTCTACCCGACCTTGAGCGATAGGGATGAGGTGGGTCTCTCGTATTCAATCGTCTTCAGGTGGGTGCTGTTGGGAATAGGCTTGAGTGTAGGTAGTATGGTGCAATAAATGGAATTTATTGTGGCTTAAGACATTATGATTACCCCATCTACCCATTAGATGCAACTGGTTGGTATATTTTCTTTGGTAGGCGAGTCGACAAAGAAGGGTTGTGTCCAAAGTGCTGGCTAATTCACATTAAGAGTGATGACAATGGCTCCAAAACCGCAGGTTTTTCATTTTCATCGAACAGCAATGGATTGTGTACCACTAAAGTGTTTCATTATACCACACTAGCGATTGCATTTCCTTATTGTCATTTGTGAAGCAAGCAGTAGTTTCGAGTAGCACATCCAAAGAGTCCAAGAACATCATATACTCACTAGACATAACACAGACATCACAGGGTATGAAGTTGTCAAAGTAATACGTCAAACAGAAAGAGGACGATGATGCAGTCCGTGAGCGAGTCAAAGGATGTGGTTTCAGGAATTGACCACGACTGAGATCGAAACATATGGCGGGCAATAAACAATTACACGTACCCGCTACTTACCCACGAACACCAAAGCAAGGAAGAAGACAAAACAGTAGTCAGATGGGAAAAATATATTTTAGAGGTTGTGCCAAAAGACCGATGGGTTCCATCTAACTGGGTAGAGGATCGATTGCGAGTGATGCTACGCAACACGACATCATGCCACCCGGCGTAGATGCTTGACCATGTGCCCTCAGATTAGCGAGTTCGATAAAACTATGAAGGCCAGCATCAATCTTTAATCTCTTCGAGCCCTGGACTGTTGATTCTGGAGAAGTATGTGAAGCTACGTGGCTGTCGTCTTATACGACGAATGTATGTTACTTGTCCGCTTTATCCACGTGAAGAATAAGGAGTCGGGAGACAGTGATTTAAAGTACACCGCTGTCGTTTTCAAGTGCACTTTCAGGGCGAACCGTGAACTCCAAGGTATGTGGTTGACTGATAAACTGTAATTCCCCCTGTTTGTGAAAATAACCACAGATTCAACTTTCAAAGTCGCCCATCAATGTTTTGGTTTGCACTGAAGATGAATGAGTACACCGTTAGATCCCACAGAATGGTTCACAATCATCCCTGTACTCCATTGTTAATGGTTTGTGTTGCTTGGAGCAGGCGACTAACAGGAGAAGAAAAGGATGATTTGAGACCTGTTTCGTGGTAGTCATTCTTTTAAGATGGTGTTATTCAACATGTCAGACATGAGTGGAATAAAGTTGTCACGACCAAGGATGAAGTTGAAATTCAGGAAAGTAGCTTTGCGATTACCAATGCAGAGTTGTTTAGACTGTGGGACATGACCTGAGACACTCGACTTTTCGTGGCAGAAGGGGAAGTTAGAAGAATTTTACCTGGAGGAAAATAGTTTCCATGCGTCTCCTCTACTGAGCAAACGCAATCGTATCACAAGGATCCGGAAGTGGTCAGCATCGATCCCACTTATAATACAAACAGAGAAGGGTAGAGTCTTTGTATAACGATTACTGGATGGATATCGACTGTTCCAACTGGTCGTAACTGACAACTGTGGTTGTGGGTGTCCTGTAATGTTTGCATGGAGGGGATGATCTGAAGGGAGACGTTACCCGGATATTGGACAGTTATCTGGAAATTATGCGGGAGACGAGGACGGGGCAGACTTTTATTGTGGGTTGTTCATGAGCCGTTCAAGTAACACACAGACAAACGAACATAGTGCTTTGTGCGTTCCATGAATACCTTGTGCACGGAAGTAAGCTGAAAAAACACCTTAACATGGCACAACTTTCAGACAAAAATGCAATCTCCAGACTGGACGGGACGGTAACTTAACGCCTTATGTGGGATCGTGTGAGTGAAAATCATATGGTTTGAAGCATTTAGTACGACTATTCCTGCCTGCGGCAATAGTATGAACATTCGCTTCAGAAGACTCCACAAGCAAATGAAGCGGCATGCACAAAAATCAGATACCCTTTGTAAGACTGTGCTAAATGTACACAGAATGAATGTGTTAAGTTCTTGCGGAACGAACGTCAAAACTGCTGTCACGTAGACGAAGTGCTAGGAATATTAATTCCCAAGGTGATTGGTTCCCTCACTTTGCCACGCAGCCCACTAGATTATCTAGGATTTCAAACGGGGAAAAAACACTTCCTTGGAATGTGAAATCTGCCACTATACTTTTCTCGTGGCAACTACTAGACTTTTGAATTTTATCTAAAATCATTTGAATGCTGTCGTAGGACATTTATGACTTGTTTTTATGTATGTAGACACTTGCTTCTGGTACATTTAAGGAAACCCAGTTCCACAGGTATGTACCGTTTACTCATTGAATTTTGTGGCTGGTAGTGTTCTTCGACCCTTTTCTACTTTGGGCTTGATCACAGATTTCTGACATATCACCTGGCACATCGTCAGCCTCTTTTACAAAACTATGCAACGTGCACACTCAGGAAAGCTGCAAAAAATGTAAAGCTGCCGTCGCGTGCTCGACAACTTTTGTGATGAATTGGCAGTTAGCGATGCAGCTTAATTGAATAAGTTCTGCCGAAGAGCCCCCGACATATGAAGTAAGCGTTCTGCTTTCCTAACACTGACCCAAAAGAGGTGTACAGTGCGTCTTCTGTGGTTCCGTTACTCGGACATTCTTTAAATGACTGCGATATACGGAACCATTTTGATTGAAGATATGGCTAAACGAAGACGACTGTGTACCAAAGTTTTTGTGCTTTCCATTGAAATTTTACGTATATTTCTTTTGTACTTTAATGTCATTGAGTATAATTAGAGGGTTGCTACCTGTCAGTGGAAAACGCCGAACGATAAAAGGTGTGCGCACTGAGAGCATGAGTACTTGTCCGTGGTAGTTAGAACACAGACTTGCGTCTACGCGGCACTTATTTTTAGGGACACCCATCACAGTTCACATCATACACCTTATGTAGAAAGATGGCGCAGAATTCATTGACTTGGATTAAGCTTACCTAACAGGATGGGATTAACACCCGTGAAGGAAAACATTGGTCCAAATGAATTCAGTTCATCTACAGCCCTCGCTTGCACAGGTTACATCTATTGCACAATATCACCAATTTGGTGTCACACGTCACCACTAAGTAAGGTGAGTAAAGTTTGAGGCATAAATACTGCGTAGTCCTCCTATTCAAGTCAAACGAAAGTGGTAATTCTGAAACGCAGGGTGTGTTCTGCTCCTGACCAGTATTCCTAATTCTTCAGGTAAACTTCGGGCAGCACGCCACTGGATCAGCTGAATTACTACTCGTAGGTACGATAATGTACTTCTTAGGCGGTAGTGATGGTGAAAACACACCCTAGTACCGATCCATACAAACATTCTGCGGTCATAAAATTAATATAACCGGAAGCAGAAACTACTTTATTTCACGCCACCTGAGCCAATTAAGTTATTTCGGTTTTTCGGTTTCACCACTATTTCTCTATAACACAATGGCAGAGACTATTATACTTGCACATATACCACTCAAGGGTTGATTCAAATGCACGATTTCTGTAGAACAGTCGTGTGAACGGATTGTCCAATGCAAAAATTCAGTGATTTTGTTTGTCTGCCGTCATTTCACCCGGGGTAAAGCAGCAATGAACTACTAGCTAAATATGAGCCGATATGTAAACCCGGAAAAAAAATGAAAGGAAGCATATTTCGGACCCACCTTCCAATATCTAGTATGTTCCACGAGTTACGGTAAACCCATCGATTTCTTCCTGCTCTCTTCTAATTCTTGTGGGTTGGTCCTAAGTTCCTGGTGGATTCCGATGCAACAGGTCTACCCACTTGCTTGTAGTGGCTCCGGTTAGCCCAACGCGCGGTGAGTGCCAAGCAAGTTTGTAAAAATTGCGTGATTTGTCAAAGTTCCGTGGCTCAGATGGATTCCCCAAGTGTTGCACCACCGAACAGCTATTCATACTAGATGTAAAAAGAAGACAGAGCAGATCTCCAGAGGAATCAAGGGATAGATGATGCAAAAAAGTGAAAAGTAGAGGAACAGGAGGGAAGGAGAAACCAGAATAAATTGCCAGCAGACAGTGATAGAAAGGATCTAATAAACAGGATGAGATCATGGAGTCAGAAGGACGAGAAAGAGCAGACGATTAACTTCTTTTGCTGTCCCCAACATTCCACAACGCTTCAATAATTTGGCCCACAGAGTAATTCACACTTCCTAATAGTTTGTCGTCGAAGTCCTTCTGCAGAAATGTTTCACCTGTTCTACATTAACCACCCTACTTTAAGACCGTGCACTGCATCATAAACAAGCGCTTGACACTGAGTTTACAGTCATATGCAAGAATATATCTATTGTCGTTTTATTTTCCAAGTGACTACTGCTACCAATTACAGATAAACTTGAAGTGAGGTGATCCTTCCCCACAATAAGTTAGGGGTCTAACAACCTACTTATATTTATGAGCAACCTTCCCTGCAAATAAACCCACCATTTTCCCGCAGAAGAAGTCCAGCATTGCCAGAAGTTTTCACGTGGACCGTCTGTATAAAACACGATATAACGATAAACGGTGTTTCAAAGCGTAAACACAGGCAAAATACGGTTTTGGAAAACAGAAAACATTTTGATATTTGGCAAGATAAACCGGAGAAAGCTGGAGGTAATTCAGCCGTGGTTTTTGAGTCCTACCGTGGTGGTATCTGATATTCCCAATTATTGAGATAGAGGAAGCAGATGTCAGTCGTCATAGTAACAGTGGATTGAGCTGCTACCATACACA